GTAGGAGCAGCAGCAGCAGCAGTAGGAGTAGGAGCAGGAGCAGGAGTAGGAGTAGTCGGGGCGGTGGTGGTAGTGTGGGGTTGCTACTACTACCACTACTACCACTACCACTACCACTACTACTACTACTACTCCTCCTCCTCCTACTACTTCTACTACTGCTGCTGCTACTACTACTACTACTACTACTGCTACTGCTACTGCTACTGCTGCTGCTGCTGCTGCTACTCCTACTACACCCCTACCACCGCCGCCGCAGCCGCCGCCACCGCCGCCGCCGCCACCACCGCAGCCACCACCGCAGCCACCACCACTGCTACCACCACCACCACCGCCACCACCACCGCCACCACCACCACCACCACCGCCACCGCCACCACCACCACCACCACCACAACTTGACGAACCTTATGGCTCATGTCTATCAGGTTTACGAGTGTGGCTGTGTGGTCTATGATGTGTGATCTGAGGTTTCCTCCATGATGACTACAATGTCGAGTTTCGCGGCAACTCACTTGCCACCAAGATGTGCCGCAACTACCGGCCCATGTTGTGCGCAGAGGGGCGCAACTTTGAATTCTTGGAATGGGTGTACGAGGCGGGGTTGGCCTTAGGTGATAGGGTGTTGGGCTTTCGGGTTTGGCCTGTATCTACGACGCGGCGGGAGTTTGCCCTTTCGGCCCTTGCTTCGTGTTTGCCATCCCATTTTCATTGATAATAGCACTGACCAGTAGTAGATTTTCCATGATTGGGGTTCGACGAGGGACTTCGAACGCCCCCTGTGTCCGCTCTGACAGGTTGGATTGGACATGCCCTTCCCGAAGCTCTCCAAGGCCTTCCGTCAGGAGATGATGCCACAACTGTCAAGAGCCGCCGCTTGGGTTCAGACAAAGCCTGACTGTTGTTGGGCAGTGTCTAGTCTCGTCGAAACATGCCATGTTGCAATTCCCTCAGGACGCATGGATGTGCTCCATTCCAGCAGTCTGGTGCTGGCTTCTTTGGGATGCAGCGCAAACGCACCCGGATGCTTTAGGCCGCACCACTCCGATCTTTGCATATCTAGGCGCGGCGTTCTTCTGAAGGGATGAGCTCTGAGTCAAGACCGGTCGCTTCCTTGAAGTATCTTGAAGTGTTGTGTAGAGCAACCCTGCAAGGCTTGCCGATTCTACAACACGTGCAGCGACATGAACGCTCGGCATTCTTAGAAGCTTTCGTAGCGCTGGGCAAGAGCGAGCGCAACATCATGGCAGCGAACAATGCCTACTTGGCTGAGGAGGCGCTCCAGTCATATCATAACAAAAGTTTAGAATGATCTCAAAGATTGACATCAGTTGTTTGCAGTCGATGTTGCCGGCAGGTGGCGTGGCAGACAGGCCTGCGAGTTCCGACGTTGAGAATACATGGGCTCCACACTAACGTGACGTACCTGCCCCTTCGCAATTCCGAGGCGCTTTTCGATTGACAGCAGCACTTGCTTAGTCCCGGAGTTTGCCTGCGGAAGGTATTGATATCTCGGCCTGGAACCAGCGGTGGATGGCAAGAGTGCATTCTGAATCGTTTCGTGGATGCGAACCCTGACTATGCACTACGGTTCGTGCAATTCACAGACCTGCTGACGCACGCCGGCATTGGGGGACTGGTCTTCGGCTTGTAGCTGAACATGATCTCTGCGCCAAGGGACCCCTACACCATAGAAGAGGCACGGGCATTGGAGAGTGGAATGGAAACGGTAGCAGTGCTTGGCCAGGTCTACAACGACACACTCTCATATCAAAGCTTGTCCCATTATCGAGCTGTGGTGTCTCGGCAAGGGAGAAGCCTGCCAATTGAACATGAGCGTGAAAATGCTGTCTTGCCACCAAGGTGGCCTTTCCTTATGACACGTCCCTGATGTTCTTCTGGGAGTTCTATTCTATGAACATGCCGACCTTCGCCAGAGTCCCAGGATGTCCCGGGCATGCCCAGTGTCCGGGTCCTAGTTGAGACAAGCTCACAGCTGAGGTGCCCTTCCAGCTATGGCATTGGGGCATCTTTGGTGGGAATCTTGAGACCTTGTTGTAGGGGACAGTTTGAAGAATCTTGAAGAGGTCAGCACACGCGACCGGACTTGGGTGAGCTGCAGCTCCTGCCCGGACGAGGCAGGAGATGTCATGGAATTTCGTGCACCAGTGGGTTTTGAGTAGTGAGTAATGGCTCTGGTGATGCGAATGATTCTTCATTCTCAAAGATATTCGGATAAGAGCTGGCATCAGCACTCCCATGCCCGAAAGGCCCGGTGCTTTCGACGCTGACTCCGGAAGAGGTTTGCACCTGACAAAGTCTCGGAATGCTCCCTATTTTCAATGAATTCCGTTGAACCAGGACCGGATGCCAAACCCCTTCTTCGATGGCTTTGGCGCTCTGGATTTGCAGCCGGGGCCTTCCGCTTTGCGTTTGCCGCTGCCGAAGTGGCCGCTGAGTCAGGCGCGCCATATTCTGGTCCAAGTACACCGACTGGGCCATGTTCCCGCACGTGCAGTATTTCAAGCCGGCAACCCAGATTCAAACGACGGTTTTTTGTTCCATCAAGGGGTTATAATGGAGATTCTGCTTATCAAGGGGTTAGCACGGTGGGCGGGCTCTGTGGCTGCAGGTCTTTGCCGGACCTCATGAGTCAGCTGGTCACGGTTGACCTACAGGCAGGTCTCAATTTTGTTTTGAGTTGAAGAAGCTTCAAAGCTAGGAGTTCATCAGCAGGCCGTGTCCGCCGCCATGAAGAATTTCAATGAGGAGCATGCCATGCTTTTTTCCCAACTACACCTTCATGATTGCTGACATCGTGTCGGCAACGGGCAACGACACCATTTCAAGCTATCGGCTATCGACGACCGAAATAGCAGGTCCCGTATGCCGAGTGTCCGCGCACTTAGGATTGCTCGCATATGGCAGTGGCCTGCAGTTTGCAGATTAAATTCTCGACGCGTCTAGAATCATTAGCAGCTTCAAAGATGAGGGCCTGTGGGTCCGGGTAGAGATGCCTGTGACACTCATCGTAAATTGGCGCAGGAGTGCCTCGTCAAAAGTGCGGCTACATGGCGATACGTTGTGCGCTCAAGCACTTCTGAACTCCCACATCTTCAGCCTTCGCTCCACAGAAGCTGGTATGTTCTACAGTTCTACCCTAGTGAGCAGTTCCGACGAGGTGGTTGAGCGCTTCCTAGATTTGCAGATGCCAGCTGCATGAAGCTGCGGAGGCAGGGGAGGGTTTCATATCCTTTCACATCGTGCAGCTTGTGTTGCGGAGTAGGAAACTGTTTCCAGGCAGGGCCATTTGGTTCTTGCGTGCGACTTGGGACTTTCTCCCAGGCCAGGCCTTCTGACGCGAGCGGTCCTCGGTCGAGTACCGTGCGCTGAAGTTGCTGCCCGAGCATAGCAAGACACCGCAACATCCCAGGAGCGCGCGAGTTTCCTGTCTGCCTTTTCAAGGTTCCGACCCTGGAAGGGCGGAGAATCTCGAGGGCATCCCACGCAAGGCATCCCAGGACATCGTCCTGCAGCAAGGCTCGCTACCAGCTCTTCCCATGAAGCAAAATTCACCCTGCTGTCTTCGGCGGCTGCAGAACAGCCGATATTTGTTCAGGCATCGCGAAGGGCCTTGGCGCAGGCTGCGGAACAGTCCTGAGTTGAAAGCTCCAGGCTGTGGATGCACATGAAGGTAGAGGGGCATCCGCCTGGTGGATTCTGGAGCGAGTGCGGAATGCTGGTGAGCTGGTGACGAGACTCACGATATCGGACCTTCTTAGAGCCAGCTGCTACGACTGCGACTCCTTCAACCCAGCGTGAGCTTCAACTTCAACGAGGGTTTTTGAAGGATCGCGCTACAAATGTTCTGCAGCGACATGTGTGTTGTGTCGTGTCACCGAGCAAGAGCTGTACACGACAAGATTTTGCAGTTGTCGTTGCTTTGGAGGATGGCTGATTTTTTCCGAAACGCACATGCCAGAGAAGCCAGGGGAATGGCACAGTGTGTGAAAGAAAAGCTTGTCCACCTCCAAGTTTCCGGGAGACGGAGGGTCCGCCTTGGAGCTACTTGAAGCGCTCCCCTCCTTTCTAAAGGAAGACCAATTGCCACGGGATGATCCTAGATAGCCGAGTGCCCGAACATTCAGCTCAAGGATGTGGCCTCATGTATGCAGTGGCCAGGACCGACGAGAGCGGGAAACATCATCTTGCTAGCAGGGTGCAGGCCTCTACGTCCACCAGGCCACATCACTTTATCGAGCTGTGGGATAAAGTCGGATAAAGGTGCAGCGGCAGCAATGTCTGCCGAGTGGATCTTGGAAGACATTCATCCGTTTTTGCTACTTGTACATGGTGGAACGATGGCTGACTTTGCAAAAGCACGGCTATCATCTCGAATAGGGACTGACAATGCCATGCGACGGAAAGTTTAGGACGACGTACGAGGTAGTTCTTGCGTTTTTCATTAAACATAGCTTCTGTGCCGGCAATGTCTCAATCTAGAACTTCCAGGGAACTCTGGCAGAACATGCGGCGGTGGAGGTGACATCAAAGTCAGAGGCCGTCACAAGCTTGTGATCTCAGCAGAGATGGGGGTAGGGATGCGGTGATAAGGTGAGCATGTCGTGGAAATTTGACATCAGCACATACCAGGAGCAATTTTGCCCACCGTGATTGCTCACAGTTTGCGATGATAGTACGCAGAAGGTGCTGAGACAGTTCTGTTGATTATAGCGGTTCCCTCTGTCAGACATGTTGCAGGTTTCATGGCTGAAGTGTATCACATCAAGAAGAATGCGACGGTTAAACTTCGGCAAAAGAACAGGAGGGCTGGATGCTCCTCAGGTCCATGGCAGGAATGTGTGTTTGAACTCTGCTGCTGCTGCTGCTGAAGCTGCTGCTGCTTCTACTGCTGATGTGCTCGCAGTTGGGCTCGAGCAGGAAAGACAGTCTTCCCGGACCGACTGCGGTGAGTATTCAGGTTGGCATCGCTACATCCAGGATCCACACCCACACACACACACACAAACACGCGCGTGTGCGCACACGGACATAGCATGGCAACAGCACAGCCCTGCTGCAAGCGACGTCAGGATCAGCCGCCCATCGTGCGAACAGCGCCCGACATTGTTGTAAGATGAAGGTGGCGGCACCAAAGCATGCCACTGCAGATCCTCACAGACGTGCCTCCGTTGCCTGCCAACTATGCCAGCCGTGCTGGACTTTCCGATTCTGTGGTCAAATCCCTGCAGAAATGCCTCAAAGCATCAGGGCTCTGTCTTGTACATGGTGCTGGAGGCATGGGCAAAACCGTCGCCACATGTGCGGCGCTGCTCGATGAAACGACCTTGTGTGAGACCTTCCCTCAGGGTGCTGCATATGTCACTGTCGGTCAGAGCCCAGATGTGCTGAGCTTGCAGTCGACTCTTCTGCGCGCTTTCGGGGTGCATGATCCACCGGCCGATGTTTCGGATGGCTATGCCCGTCTTTACAATGTGTTGTCAGGGTGCAAAGTTTTAGTCGTGCTGGACGATGTGTGGAATGCATCGCACTTGGAGTGCTTCGTCCCAATGCGGGGACGCCCAAAGACGTGGAGCAACGTGGCAGTTCTTGTCACCACTCGTTTCGCAGATCTGGTGCAGAAGGCGGAGTTGTTGCGCTTGGGTGACCTGACGGACAGCAGCCATGCCTCCATGGTTTCATGGTTCTCCACGCGAGTAGGTTGAGCAGGAAGCAAGTGCAGGAGGTGAGCCCCGTGAGGACGCGGAGTCGCGCGAGCTCCTCCACTTGAAAGGACTGAGCTGCTTTGGGATTCGCGTGCATTCTTGGACCCAGTGGGTGATTCTGCTACTGGAGAAGGAGACGGTGCCCTTCTTTAACCGCCTTGCAAAGCTCTGCTCACGCTCCCCTTTGGCTTTGTCCATCCTTGGTGCTACAGGCCCGGAGTGGGGAGTCGGGCCGGATGCTTTCGTAGTTCATCCTCCAAGGTGATACAAAGCTTACAGGGATTTTGGCGTGCCCGCCTAGTCAGTCTTAGCACATCGGAACTCTGCAGGAAGTCTGGCTAAGTTCGATTTGTAGCGGAACAAGAGTCTTGCATCAGGTACAAGCGACTGAAGTATACCTCTGATTGCCGAGATTTGCGGTGACCCGTGACAAATACACATGCATCAGCATAGAAGCTCCCCGACACCTGAGACGGCCTTATTTGCGAGGCCAGCTGGAAGCAGAGCGCGATGCCAGCCAGAAGCGAGCCGAACTGGGAAGGACTGTGGGACAGTTGATTTCATTCTGGGGATGTGTGTAAAAGCGGGCTATCTATCCATTTATCTATCTATCGATGCTACTACTACTACGACGACGACTACTAATAATAATGATCATAGTAGTAGCAATAATACTACTCATAATACTAATAATAAATATTAATAAAAATACTAATAATAATAATAGTAGTTACTATTATCATTGTAGTAGTGGTAGTAGTAGCAGGAGTAGTAGTAGTAGTAGTAGTAGTAGTAGTAGTAGTAGTAGTAGTAGTAGGTAGTAGTAATAATAGTATTACTAATATAAAGATATAAATATAAATACATTATATATATATGTTAATATATATATATATGTTAATATGTGAATGAATAAACATATATATATATATACATATATATATATACATATATGTGTGTATATGTATATATGTATATATGTATATGTGTATGATATATGTACATCACGTGGTTGTCTCACAGTGTTTCCAAACTGTTTCTTCAGGAGCTCAGGTCCGCAAGCCAGGATCATTGGTTGTGTTGACAAAGGGGGAAAAGGTTTCGGGTTCTGGGGCTGCGGATGCTCAGTTTCAGGGTTGTGGTTGCAGATCGTGCGGTTGAGGCCCAGATCTGGAGTTTGGTGTGAAAGCTTCCTGCTTGTGTGCATCATGTGTTTACTCCAGCATGCAGAGGGTTCAGCCGACAAGCAGGCCTTCTGCACAAGAAGGTTCAGATGAGGACCACGATCCTAGCTATGCCAATCGTAGCAAAGGCTAGCAGTGACGAGCATCGACAGCAGCAGCAGTAGCAGCAGCAGCAGCAGCAGCGGCGCCGTTCTTATCTTTCTCATCACTGCAATGTTGTGTGCTACGCTACGACCAACCAGTAAGGGTTCCTGACTGCGGGAAAGATGCCTGCCAAAGGCCTGCGACCGTTTTCACCGCATTTTGTGACGAGCTTGCGGCACACGAGAAGGCGCCTGTAGCTTCGTTCCAGCATTTTTCCTTGCTGGTGGACCGCTAGGCAGAGCCCAACGCCATCAAGCGCTGCATTGGGCTGGCACACAAACGGCTCGAGCAGCAGGAAGTTTCCTGAAACGGCCTTCGGACAGGGCTGCTGCACGCATGACGCGGCTCAGGACAAAGACCTCTACTTGGGCATGGCTGTTTTCCCTGATGACGTGCTGTTGCCGATTGCAGCTTTGCGTGCCTCGGAGGGCAAAAGTTGACACCACCACCTGTAGGCTCCAGTTTGCTGCAAGTTGAGGAACAATCTTCCGGGACAAGGATCTGGACACCCAGCTGCCCCGACTGGAGCGACTTCACCTCATTCGCACATGCCTGAGCATCAACGGCATCGCTGTTGCCAGCACGTTGTGTCGGAGTATCGTTTAGCACAAACGAGAGTAACCAGCAGAGCTCAGCAGAGGCAGAGAAGAGGGCGCCGCAGGCCGTGTGTGGATTGAGTCAAGTAGACGTGCCTCCACTACCCGCACCGGAAGCAAGACAGCTTTGTGTGCCAGATGGTCCCCGAATCCGCCTCCACGATCTTTCGTTGGAGTTCGTCAAAGAGCAAGCTCCGCGATGCGGTGGTGAGACTGCTCTCCATCAGGAAGTTCAACAAACGGTTGTTGGGTCCAGCTGCCTGCCATGTCCTTCGAAGCAAACGAGCTTACGTTGACGAGATGAGACAGGAGCTCTTGACAAATTACAGCTCCTGCCTGGAAGTCGAAGCCCGAGTCTCTTTACTCTTTGCTCGTGATAGTGTTGCTAGCCGGACCCCATGAGTTGCCGCAGTTTTTGAGCAGCACATGATTGGACATGAATCGAGGAGGACGTTTGTTACTATCAAGCAGCACGCGGCATCGTGCAATCGTCTATGCAGTTCGTGCTACTGTAACATCAACAGCTGCCAAAGACGCAGAGAGTTCCTTTTTCTGGCCCCTTGTCACGGGCGCGGCGCTTACCTGCAGACTGGGGGCTCTTGCTCCTGACCAAACCCCTGCCAGTTCAATGAAAGTACAAAGGAAGATGGCTCGCGGCTATGGGGGCGACAGCCCTGGATCGGTGAGGAAGGGGAGCTCCATGCCGGATGGGGTGATGGAAGAGAACGTGGTCCTCTTTGCAGTTCCGAAGAAGGGGAGGACTGCAGCCTTAAGTCTGGAACAGCTTCACCAGAGCGCCTGGTGTAAGCTGACTGTGGCTCCGTAGGGAGCCGTCTGTACATGCAGTGTAATTTTGATAATGATGTCACAGGCTCATCTATGAAATCAAGTGAAATCATACAAGCCGAAAGGCTTGCAACCGTCCAATTTCCTGTACCCTGCCTTGCCTCATTGCAGGATCCACGAGGATGCGCGGGTCTCAGCCACCCGACGAGCAGGTCTCACGAAGATCACCAGTCTGGAGAACGCCTAGACAGGACTAGACGCAACAACAGAGATAATTTCGCAGGACTTTCACCTTCAGGGACAAATCACCATAGCGATGACCATCATCACCCTACTACCATCGCCTCCGTGCAAGCGCTGTCCTGCGTTGCCATTCGTTATCGTTGGTGTTGGTGGTCAGAATGTTGCTGATGTTGTCGATGGTGATAATCGCGCCGTGGCTGCTGTTTGGTGAGGGGGTCGTGGAGGTACTGCTTGTGTTCAAGTTTTCGATCCGGGATGTTGATGATGGGGATGGTCGGAGTGCTTGAAGATGATGATCGCATCAGCGCCATCATGATCATCTGCAGCATCGCTATGTAATCGCCAACATCACAATCAGGATCATCGAACGGGAACGGTGCTTCACTTCAAGTTGCTGAACAATCAGCAGTATCCGCAGCCGTCGCTGTGCAGAAATTCAGAAATCACGATTTTTGCGCTGGAACTCCAATCCCACCTTCATCTTGGATCATACTGCCACACGCAAAGCAGTAAAAACCGCCACTCACAGGACACGCTTAGCATGACAATGCTGTGCTTAGTCATGAATTCTTAGGTGCTCGGAACCGAACTACTCGTGGGTGTAGAAGCCATACCTTCGCGATAATGTTGAAGTGTCTCCTCGACATCGTCGCGTAAATTGCAGCAGAAAGAGCAGTCGGAGCAGCAGCAACCGCAGCAGCCATTAGCGCAGAAGTAGATGTAGAGGTACTGTACGAGCAGCAGTTGCAGCTTAGTAGCGGTAGTAACATAAGTTCCAGCAGTAGCAGTAGCCGTTGCCACAGAAAAACGGCGCAGTCGTCGCCGTCGTCGTCTTAGAGGCAGTGGTAGTGGTGGCGGTAGCGGCCCGAGCAGCGGCGGCGGTGGCGCCAGCGGCAGTGAGAAACGGCAGTAGGAAAAGATATGTTAGCAGCAGTAGAAGACGTGTGTTCTAGCAGCAGCAACACCAGCCAAGCCAGCCGTTCAACCGTCGCACGAATCAGCCGAATCAGAATCAAATCCACCGCAATCCTGAGAATCATGGGCTTGGAAGTTACCAGGTCATGAAGATCTTGAAGGGAGCTGGCTTCGATGCGAAGCGTCCAGATCGCTTGGATGTGGCCATGTGCAAGGATGTCCCGATAAAGCTGGATTTGCCCTCAGTGAGTGCTGTAGGAGTTTGAGAGCTCAAAACCAGAGCAAGCTTTGCAGCAAGGGATGTTATAATCCGAGGAAGTTGCAAAACTAGGCTGTGACATACAGATGGGAGGCATCATAGGCAAGACACGCTCACAGTTGGCTTCTCGCGAACCTGTGGTGTGACCAGATGGTTGCAAGGTCTTCCTGCCTGCTGCGGACATACCGAGCTATGTGCCCCGGTAGCAGCTGAGACCCTCATGGGTTCATTCAGGGCATTCCTTTGATGCCGATGCAGACTTCCAAGGATCACCTTAAATGCTGTGAAGGCAGCCCGCGCTAGTTACAAAGGCCTCACTGTACATGGTGTGGTGCATTTGCATCATTAGAGTCATTAGAGATGTCAGAATGGAGTCGCGGCGCAAGACCAGATTTGTGTGTTGCATTATGCCACGGGATGATCTCAGGTCATGGAGGGAAACGTGGACATCGGCATTTCTGGGAGCGACATGCTGGAAGAGTCCATGATCCCCGACCTTCTTGAGCTGGCTGTCGTTCAACCTCCTGAAGTCAATCTGCCTCCTGCGTTTGATATGTGCTTGGCTTTTGAGGATCGACGCTGGGTTTGATGCGGAGTGTGCTCCTATCAAGGCACGGTACTGTCAGACTGCCAACAAGGGTTCGCAATTCAGACACGCTAGCTCAGTCTTGCTCTTCAGGTCATCCTCAAGCTAGGCATTGGAAAATGCAGGCTCTGTTTGCAAGCACCGCAGCAACACTGTGCATCTTGGCAGCATGCCATGTCAGAAGCCGCCGTTATCAGCAACCGGTTGCTGCATGCATGTTGCTACATCATTGTTCTCATTCTGGGGGTGTCCTCGAAACAACAACACTACCGATCATAGTAGAAGTAGTAGCCATAGTCATAGAAGGAATCATAGCAGCAATCATGGCAACAGCAAGACAGAAGTAGTGAAGAACAAGACTAGTTCCGTACTCAAAGCCACCAAGCATGTTTTAATGCTGATGTCAACAGAATCGAAGATTAACGTGTCCATGCTTTTATGCGCAATCTGAGGACCGACCTCCGAAGGACACTGCGACACAGATGTAACTCCCGGGCATCAGACCTAAAATTTCAAAAGACTACACGGGACTTCCGCAATCCTAAAATCTTACAGACCAAGCTTCTTGTAGGTGGCGTTGACAGCGCAGGATTTCGTCGGCCAGCGCATAGTCACGTCGTTCCCAGCGCTGACGAAGAGATACTTCGAACGCCTAGCCGGTGAGGACCTGCGTAGAGCTCTTGAACTTTTCTCGTGTTTAGTCTGCTAGCCGCCTTCTTATCGTTGTTATTCAAGTTGTTGTATGTATGGTGTGAGCAGATGGTGTGGGTGGTCGTGGTGGCGGTGGTGATGGTGGTGGTGGCGCTGGCGGTGGTGAGGCTAAGTCAGCAGAACGAATAGAGGTGGAAGTAGTAATGGTCGTCGGGGGTGTTGGCGGTGATAGGTTGGTGTGTGCTGGTGCGTGCTGGTGCGTGCCGGTGGGTGCTGGTGGGTGCTGGTAGTTCGTGGTGGGTGCTGGTGGGTGTGGATGCGTACTAGTGGATGTCGATGGGTGGTGGTGGGTGGTAGTGGTTGGTGGTAGTGGTGGTATTGGTGGTAGTGGTGGATGGCGGAGGCTGGTGATGGTGGTGGTGGTTGCAACAGGCAGTATTGTTCCCCATGCTGCGAGCAATCCGAATGTTCGCTTAGCGAGCTGGCAATACCACATTTGCCAAAACGGAGCCTCTTACGGGCTCGCTAAGAATCAAAGTACTTGTAACAAACGTAGGCCCCTACAGTTCTTACTTTGGCCTCTGCCGTGTGCCCTAGGACTTGGAAACCAGCCAAAATAAGAAACGTAGGCCCTTACATTTCTTTTTCTGGCCTCTGCACCATGCCCTGGAGTTACGATCTGGAAACCACCCGAAATAAGAAATGATCCCAAAACGTTGGGTACCCTTCATTTCTCAGCTAGAAGGCATTTTAAGCTTTCGGTTGTTTGGTGCCAACCGGCTGACGTAGCCCCTGCATTTCTTATCCAATCGTTTCTTGTACAGTGATTGCACTGTACTCAGTATTTGGACTAGTCGCAGCTATTCGTCGCAACAGTTGTAGTAGCCGTGGTACGGGTAGTGGCAGTCTGGAAGTGGAGTATGAGAGAGAGGAGCAGGAACAGCATCAGCATGAAGAGTATAATTAGTGGACTGGGACCTGTTTGCCAGGACGCGCAGCAGAAGACGCACATCAAGGCTTGCCACGTTCGTGTCATCAAGTCATGCCAATCACGTTGGTATTCGTTGCCGATGCCCTCACAGAAACGGCTATTCGGAGACCACGTTGGAAGCCTCCTATTCTTTGTGTTGTGATCCGTGACCGCAACCTCCAGATCACCGTACTTCTGCGATTTTTGGGTTCTTGAAGAATATTTGTGTGCATCCACTATGCCAAGAGAGTGTTGAAAGGATTGTCCCAGATCAGCAAGGTAATCGACTTCGGACATAAGGCTTGCTGGGTCCAGAGACAGGACTCGGTGGTGCTGCCGAGAAGAAATAACTAGAAACAAAGTCTCTCTTGCCTCTCGTTTCCACTGACTCCATGGTTTCTGCAACAAAGCGCGCTGCCCGCAAAACATTGCAAGATTCTACGAGGACCGGTGACCAGCAGAAGACCTTTCTCCAAGGGTAAACCACTCCTAGCTGAGAGCAGATCTTTGAGGCTCCTTCCAGTATGCCACTCCTTGGCACGGGATGTAGACGGCTGCGTCTGCTTTTCTTGCCCTGCCTCTGAACTTTTGTCTCAAAAGTCATGAGCAGATACGCGACAGAGGCGCAAAATGCAGGTTCCAGATCATTGTCAGCTCGCAGCACCCTGAAAAACACACGATCTGTTGTAAAGTTCGCGCAGCAAGCATACGGGGTTTCTAGTCTGTCGGAAACTATGCTGTTGAGGGGCAGCGGTTCTGCAAAGTACGGTAATGAGGCGCAGACTCAAGCAGTGCTGTTGCCCACTGTTCTTAAAGCCCCGACGAACGGGGTGCGTGCTGGGGGTGGGAGACTGTGACGAGTCCCGTAAGCCCTAGCGAAAGAAAATGAGAGAGAGAGAGAGAGAGAGAGAGACTTGCAGCTGAACGTGGCTAGAGGCTCTTAAGATCCACGGAGCGGAACCTGTCCCGTCTTCATCAGGCTTACGCAACTTCACAGGGGGCAGGGGTAATGCCGAATTTTTTGAGCCTCCGAAAGGAGGGGAGACAGAGACAGGGGCAGCCTGTGTCTTCTTGACTGCGGCAAAAGTTGTGCAGCGTTGCAGCCCCTCCGAGCCCTCGAACAGGAAGGAACAGGCCGTGCCGCTGTGGACTGCTTTCAAGCGCTCAAGCAAGCAGGGGAAACAAGCAACTTGGAGCCCAGAGGGCCTGCCCTCCGGCTGTTGCCTTCCGAAGCAAGCAAGCATGCGGGGCCAGTCTACGGTTTCGACATTACTCCTGAAACAAATAAAGAAAAAAGACGGGGACAGGTTGAGAGACCGACTCGCGCAGACACACTCTGCAAGCCAGGAAGTGTCAGGCTCGGTCGAAGCAGCCTGTGGACTGGGCCTAGCAGATGTCGGCGCCTCAGGTCCTGCCAGGTCAGGTCTTGTAGGTTCTCAGGTTCGGGCAGACACAAACCTTGTTTTTTACAGGTGATGGTGGTACGCCTTGGCAGTCCTGAGTCCACTGAGCTCTTTTCTCGGACCTCTTAATTTCTGGTGGGAGAGCTGTCTCTTGGAAGGGTGTCGAGGGGCCGAGGGTCTGGTCGGCTTGGGCGAACGCGGCTGTGCGTGGGGGGGAAGATTTGGCTCGTAGGCCCTGTTCATGCTGCAAGTTCGACGTGTTCGACCATAGCCGGCTTGTGGGACCCAGAGGTTTCTATCATGTCGTTGTCTCTTGTCACAGGTGTCTAGTTCTTGCATCTTTCCGAAACCGAGGGTTCTGTCATGTGACCAGAGGCCGTGGTTGACCTGGTCGAAACTGGCACGACCATGAAAGCTGCAGGCAAGCACAGCAATGACCGCTGCCGCCTGCTCTCGCTGTGTTGGGTGTTCCTACTACTACTACTACTACTACTACTACTACTACTACTGCTACTACTACTACTACAACTACTACTACTAATAATAATAATAAGAATAATACTATTATTATTAACAAAACTGCAGGTCTGGACATTGTGTCAGAAGTCTTGGAGACCGAGGCGATTCGGACAGCAAATTTTGATTGCCTTCCGCGTGCTAGCCACATGTCGTGCTGCGAGGCCCTCCTATTTCAGCAGCTTCCGACGGAGGCAGGGCTCCCTGCTTTTCTATATCTTCGACATCTGCAATCTCCTGTTTCGTTCTGCCTTTTCCCGTCGCTTTGCCCGTTGCCAGGCCAATGGCCTGTCCAGTGGAAGCAAAGCGGATGTGCTAAAGCTTATTGAGAACAGTTTCTTGGCAATGCGTCTCTGTTTCTTGTATTTCAGTTGGCATCGATGAAGCTGTGGTAGAAGTTCTGTTGCGCAACCGTTGGAGTCGTGGACATGTCCAAAGCCCAAGGAGTATCCGGTTACCTCACGGCCACCAAACACGTGATGATCGTGTGCAACTGTCACCACGACGACCTGGCGTCCGTTTGCCAGCTCATGCCCGGCAAGAGATCACCCACTGTGACCGAGCTGAGCCCGGGCTGCGCATGTTGCGATATTGGAGTTTCTTTGTCAGGCATCGTCTTCCAGCTTATGGTGTCTCAGTGAGGGTTTGAGGAAGATGCCAGCGCCAGCGGCACCACAACACCATGGCCACCACCACCCCGGCCATCGCCACCGCCGCCGGCGCCACCCCCACCACCACCACCACCACCACCACCGCCACCGCCACTGCCACCGCCACCGCCACCGCCACCACCACCACCACCACCACCCCCGCCGCCACCACCACCACCACCACCACCACCACCACGCGTAAACGAACACAGCACCACGATGACTGCGGTGCAGCTAGCGCCACCACCGCCATTGCCAGCAGCATAAGCAAAGCATGCAAACAGACACAGACTCAGACGGACGGACAAAGGGCGGAAGAAGACTGGTAGTAAGAGGACGGGTATCTCAAGACTCCTGAAGCAGCATCCCGAGGAAAGAGTCGAGCTGGCACTCAGTGTCGGCTCTGGTGAAGAACAGCGAGTCGCCACTTGTCAAAAGAATCTCATGTACTGCAGAAGGTCCACATGCACTCGTTGGCTGCAGCCTTCCAGGAATCGCATAATGGATGATCTTTCGAAGGCGGCATTTGGTTGTGTGCCGGGCCGCTTGGAAGTCTAAACGCCCATTTGTGAGCAGGCTGGAGCAAAAGATATTCTATGCCTCGCCCTGGCCAACACGCGGATGTGACCAATTCCAGACTACTAGCCGTCGTCTGGTTGGAGACCAGTCACCAAATGCTTGCAGCAACTAAATGCAGCAGCCGTCAGACTTTTGCCGTGCCGTGAAAGCGACCACATGTGTTGTTCCCATTCTCACCAAATTGATGACATCTGCTTTCGAGTCATGACGAAGCGCGAGTTTCTTGACTACCACATGCAGACGGACAAGTGTATGTGAGTTTGAAAAGTCCGTTAATGGTTAGGTGGTTGTTGCATGTTGTTGCAGGGTAAGATGGCTCCGTCCGAAGAAACATGCTTGAGCATGACGCAGATGTCCCGCCGCTCCGCTGGGTCTCTGGATGCCCACCTGCAGAAGCGAAAACAAGCCTGCTGGTGTGAGAGCACAGTGAGGTCTTTCAGTGGCGGTACCTGGCACAGCAAGTGTCTGTTATTCAAAGGCTCCTCAGAGATGGTGGACGGGACCAGATGACGGGTACTACTATCAGAGGTCGCAGACTTATGTCGAGTCGATGCAGAACAGCAGGTTTCTCCCTTTGTGAGTCGGGCATCTCACGAAAGACAGCTCCCGTGCATTCAATTTGGTCGTGACTCGCCATCTCGCAAGGCTCCTGCATCATCTGGCAGCGAGCGGCCGGATTGACGAAGCAAGGGGACTTCTGCTGAGGTAGGGCTGATTCGGGGCCGAAGGGAACATGTGAGCTAGTTAAATCTTCACCTGCAAGCTTCGGATCTTTTTGGCATGGCGTGTTCCACTGTTGTTGTGTAGGCTGATGCGGGCTGTGCATAGCGCCAAGTACATGGGTCGGGTACTTTATGTGGACCTGAATTGAATTTGTAACATGCCAGAATCGTGGCGACGGCAGTCTTTCCGAGAAGTTGGACTGAACGGATGCGTTCGGGTGTTCGGGGACATGCTGTTGGGTGTCCTGCCCATGGACGCCTTTGCAGAAGTACCGAGTCACAGAAACTCCATTGGCGCTTGTTCAGAACTCAGAAGCAGACGTGGGCAGCCTTCCGGAGCTCTTGGCAAAGTAATGGCAGCGAGCCCAGGCGAGTTGAGCCGCGTAGAGGCTGCGTGAAGCTGGCCATAGACGGCAAGCAAAAAGTATTTTTAGCAACTATTCCGTGCTGACGCGGTCCTTCCAGGGCCCTTCCGCAAGGTCCAAATGAACCCTCCCCCGACCCGTAAAAATACGTTGTATAGTGACAATATTTTTAGGGGAAAATTCCAGTTGGAGCATGCGCGGCTCTGCAACAGATTGCAAAAGGTTACAGCTGTCACTGTGGCAGGGGTCATGTAGGGGCCTGCATAGAAAGGTTAATCATAATCGGGCTCAGGTTCATGGATGTTGGCCGCAATGATGTAGAAGCAAAAGGACTTGACATAGGGAAGTACGGACGTAAACGAGCGCGAAGAACAACTTGGTTATTGGAAGTAGCTGATTAGATATTTACAGCCGCAGTGCTGGCAATTTCTTAGGTTGTTGCTTTATGCCAAATAAGTGCCAAATACAACCTCAGAACTCATGACCCACCCACACCACTGGGGGTCCAACCAACATAAGTTTCCAAAGGGCTCTATTCACTGCCCGTGTCAAATAATAAACAGGCGTCGGGGTGGGAATGAGTGGTTGAGAGGCAGAAAAGGTATGCTCAGGGGTCAAAACAATTTTGCGGGGGCTGAAAAATTATGCTCCTGTGTTAAAAAAATGTGTCGCCCGCTTCCGAAGACGTCTCAGTCGTGGTTAAGGTGCCGGAAAACACGCATGACTTATTATCATTCGTCCACTCTTCCTCATCCGCGACATTGGCCAATCATTTAGCTGCTATGACCGTACTTTCTGCATGCACACGGAGCATCATCTTTACTAGTAAGCAGCATAATCAGTTTCTGCCTCGTCATCTTCATCTTCGGTTTGCATCACCATCGTCACCCCACGAAGAATACAGCCGGAAGCAGGTGGGAGTGGCTGGCTGCTCGACTTCGGCGTCCGGGCGACGCTGTGAGTCTAGCACCTCTGCGACATCTGGTCAGCGTTCTCATGGCAGAAGCTGAAATCACAGCTGGCCAGCCGAGCCCCTGTAATTGCAGTTAGGTTGCAGACGTCCGAGCATTTGCCCCACACGGTTCCCTTCCACAACATGCGACAAGTGGCCAAGGCCGGAGCCACAGCACGAAGCACGCTCCGTCTCCAGTTCCTCTGACAGGTCCCGTGGGCTCAGCCACCAGCGCCGCAACGGTTATGGGTGCTCCGCTCAACACCTCGTGCATGGCCGCCAGCCATGCTGTCCGCGGTACCCAGGCTCGTCGCAGCAGGCGAAGGCCACGGGTGAATCAGCGCACTCAGAAGAAATCAGTTGTGATGCGAGGCCAGAGCATCGGCTACTCGCAAGGCACGGGCGGTTTGGCGAGAGCGTTGTTGGACGTGAGCAGTCCACAGCGAGGCTGCGGCCAGCCCGGCAACTGCAAAGGCTAAAGAAGCATGGCATGCAGTAAGACAAAGCATTCCAGGATGAAGACATGTGGCTGGCACGGGCCCGCGGTCTCATCCAAGGCTCGGCCTATGCAGAAGGATGCCGCGGCCACTGAGGAGGCAGTGGATCCGAAATCGCACGAACAGGTTCTGCGTTGTGCCGCCAGGCAGCACAGGCCTTGAGCGTCTGGGAAGCATTGCTCGAGGCACTGCACGACATAAATCCAGAAAGCGATCCTGCTTCCCTTTGACTGTGATTCCCATGCCAGGTCCTGACTCTGTCGGCACACATCTTGACTGAGGATCCTTCTCAGCTCGCCTTTCAAGCCACAAACTCAACAGGAATCTTCCGACACGTCCTGACAGAGCAGAAACCTTTAGTGACTTTGTCAGGTCCTGGGGCGACTCCTAGGATCGGAGGTGCCCGCAGGCAGGGACCTTACAGAGCATGTATGACATGTGTAGATCATCTTCGGTGCTTTTTGCATATGTATCCAAAGCACATGTGTCCATGTATGGGAGCCAGGCGGAGAGAGAAGACCCTGCTGAAAGAAAAGAGAGAGAAAGAGATGCAGGGGCGAAGAGTCACAGTCCCTGGTCGTATGCATGTGTGATCATGTGTGCGTGTATGTTTGTGTGCGCGTGCGCGTGTTCTTGGTCGCAGGCACAAGCGCGTGCGCTTGCGCGTGCGCGTGCACGCGCGCGCGCGCGCGCGGGGGGGTGTCTCTCTCTGTCTGTCTGTGTGTGTGTGTGTGCGTGCGTGCGTGTGCGCGCGCGCGCGGGTGTGTGTGTGTGTGTGTGTTTTTGTGTGTGTGTGTGTGTTTGTGTTTGTTTGTTTTTGTTTGTTTGACTGTCTGTCTGTCTGTCTGTCTGTCTGTCTGTCTGTCTGTCTGTCTGTCTGTCTGTATGTCTGCATGTCTGTATGTATGTCTGTGTGTGTATACGTGCATGTATTTATGCTTTTGACATAATATGAAGCTGACGGAGCCTCAAAAGTGGTGCTGAGACTGCTTACCTTTTCACGAGCATGGGACATCGCTCTTGTTTCTCTCTGTTGGGGCACACTGGAGTACAATTTGACGAGGTGACATTGGCTGTGAGACGCTTAGGAAAAGTCATTGTCGCTCTCTTCGAATCATCGGTTGCTGGCAGAATCATCGTGGGTTCAGAGCCCATTCCACGTATACCTGGCTACCGAAACCCTCTGCGGTCACTTATGTGCGTGTGACCATTGAGGGTACTACATTCGGTCCGTCATTTTCTGAGGCTTCGAACTCATCATATACATCGCCAGGATCAAAGTTTCTTCCCACTTGCCTATGGGATCATGGAACAGGGCTTTCGCAAAGTATTCCAGCCCATCATGCGAGAGTACGACTAACTTTCGTCCTGCCACAATATAGATTCTATAGATATTCCAGGATGTGTACGAGGGAGAGTTTTCCGAGGCCCTCTCGCAGATCTTCGCGCGGGAGCGCAGATGGCCCTGAAGGAGTGAGTGGCGGTAAAGTGTCAATGGGGGAGGAATGGTGCAGTTGATGATGTAAATCCTGCATTACACATAATCAGGAATATAACATAACTCCCATAGTTTAGGATCCTTAAGGTCATGCAGGATTTATATCATCAACAGTAATTTTTATAGGGTTTCAGAGACTGAAGGACCTTAAAAAGATCCCCAAAGAATACGATCCCGAACAAAAGCCCTAAACAAGGTGAGTACTGCAGCAAGACAAAGAAGAGCAAGAGCTGTGTTGTTGCTACTAGTACTGCGGGTGCTGTTATCTCGCCGCCATCTCTGTTGATATTTCTAGTGTCACGGCTGCTCTTCCTAACTGCTTCTCTGGTCAGCCTATCGGCGCTTGATATTCTCGCTCTCGCTGCGACTGTTTCTGTCTTTGTTACGATGCTGCAAGCATCGTTTCTCCTCCGGCTCGTGCTTGCACTAGTGCTCTGGCAGGGAGGGGCACCGGGTGATCGGCAGGAGGGCGTCTACGGGCTGCCTGCCGGCACTGTCCCGAGCTGGCGCTGCAGCGCTTGCCCGGCCCTGGCCTCACCTCAAACTGCCGGAATCCCGAAGAAGTTCAAAGAATTTGGAGGTCTCCAAGAAGAGCCTGCAAGGACCGTGGGACTGCCGATGGCTTTTTAGTCTCCCGGGAGTCGAAGAAGCCGTGAACGTGCCTCGAGGAGTTGGCGGGCCACTGGCGAGGACCTTACAACTGCACAAAGACTGGGCCGGCAGCTCAAAGCTTGAAGCCGAAGACTTGACATGACTTGACATGGAAGCTGATGCCCGCTTTCCACGTGCCAGGTGCGCTGCGTGGCGGTGAATGAAGCTGGCACCTTGCTGGCGAGCGCATCGAACGACCTCTCAGTCAAAGTCTGGGACCTGACCCAGGATTGCCGAATGCTACTGGAGCTACTGGGACATGAGACTGCAGTTCTCACTGTGGACCTTAAAGGTGACCTCGTGGTGTCTGGAGATAAGGACGAGGTGATTCTCTGGAGCTTGTCAGATGGCAGCATTCTCAAACGCCGGCCGGGGTTCGCAGGAAACTTAAGCGTCGTTCAGTTTTTGGGCGAGGGGCATGTGGCAGTGGCAACCGGGACGGACGTTGAGTTGGTGGGAGCCACTACGCTGCAGGGCAAGCCGACCTGCAACCATGAGGCCAGAGTTGCCGCCATCCACTCCAGCGCGGTCCCAGGCGGTTCAGCTACAGAGTTGCTCCTCGCCTGTGGCTGCGATGACAAGCATGCAGCACTATGGAAGCTGAGCAGTCAAGATGCCAAGCGCAAGAAACCTACAGCCCCAGAGTTCACGGCACAGCTGATCACCAGGTTTTTGGTAGGAGAACAGGACGTCCGGGCAGTGAGTTTGAGTAGAGCGGGGAATCTCCTGGCATGTGGGAATGATGACGGGGTCTTGCGAATTTGGAGCATCAGCACAGGGAAAGCTGGGCTTTCCTGCAGCATGCTGTGTTCTGCACCAGATATGCACAGTGACTGGATACATTCTGTGAGCATGGCTCATGACGGCTCCTGTGTGGCATGTGGCTCTGACGACAACTCCATTTCCCTCTTCGACGTGTCAAAGCAGCGAATGGTCGGACAAGTCAGGATCTTTTCTGGTGCCTTTTCTGTGGCACTGTCGCCGGACCTGAAGTCACTGTACTCCGCAAGTGGTGACATCCGTTTGTGGAGTGTTCCCAAAATCAAGCAATCGCACCACTTGAATGCCACAGGTACTGGCAAGCATTCCCCTGCTGTCACCGGAAATGCGGTGTCTCTTGATGGATGTCATGCCGTTTCTGCGTCTTCAGATTTGACAGATGGCAAGACAAACGGCGGCCTTCAGATTGGGCTTTGGGATTGTCCAACAGGCTCCCAGACCGGATTCTTCAAAGTGGGCGGTTCCATAGATGACGATGACAGGCCCCTGTGCGCATCCATGAGCCCGGACGCTACAATGGCTGCCATCGGATGTGACACCGGCAAGCTTTGGGTCGTTAACCTGACGGAGCCCTTCGCGGCTGTTTGGGTGCAGCCGGAGGCCCATACTGAGCGCATCTACTGCTGCGAATGGCTGGAGCTGGATTGTTTGGCAACTGGCAGTGAAGATGGGAGTGTTGCTTGCTGGTCAGTCAGGGACAAGGTCTGCACTGCGACTGCCAGGCCGTATGATTCGGGCATCCGTTGTTTTGCATGGACCCAAGATCGGCAAAGGGTCATGTGCGGCTGCGACTACCAGGCACCACGACTGGTGTCGGTTGGAGAGAAAGGCTCAGATGGCCACGTCCTTGCAGAGTTCAAGGATGTCGTCCGACAGGAACTGACTGTCATAACCCCTTGCAGCATTTCACTCAGCTCGGACGACCGGCGTGCGGTGACCACGAGCTGGGACAAGGCCCTCCTGCTAGACAAGCGTGCACTTATTTCTTGCCATCACCGACTCTCTCTCTCTCTCTCTCTCTCTCTCTCCTTCTCTCTCTCTCCCTCTCTCCCTGCCTTTCCCTGCTCTCTCTCTCTCTCTCTCTCTCTCTCTCTCTTTGCGAGTTGTACAGTTGTCTGAATTTGGTAGGCGCTGCGCGTGTGGGAGCTGGACTCTGGACAGCTCTTGCTGGCCGTGACGCAGGCAGGGTGCGACTGTGGAACTGGTTCTGTGCGCATTGTTCTCGGGCAAATGTCGGGCGATGTCGAAAGGAGGGAGAGAGAGAGAGAGAGAGAGAGAGCCATGCGTGGACTATTGAGCACAACGGGGGGATGTTTCGACTCCGCCACCGCTCGACACGTATGTTGAAATCGTGTGCCTAGATCCCCCGAACTTCAATGCTCAACTGTATGTGAGCGAGGATATGCTGACGTTGGAATCGGAGATTGCAGTACTGATGAATGGTTGGGTCACTTCAGCTGCCGCTGTCACGAACAGCACTCTGGACTTTGGGAAGGGTGGCTGCCTGTTGGGGGAGTCGAGCAAGGGGGGCAGTTGACGTGGTGCCCACCTTGTGTCGTCGGTGATGTGGACGGAATCATGCTGTGACAGGTTTCCGACTGGGTGGTGAAGGGTTTTGGAGCGACACTGGCAGGCCCATCAGGGCATCCACAGTATTTCTGGGGACGTGCCACATGCTGCTTGTGTCCAAGTCCAACCAGGTGACATCGCCGGCCTCTGTGTGCCGACCTAAGACGCTTTGCATCGACCGGTACCTGGTGTCCTTAAGCTCGTCGGACCGTACTTGATTGAAATGCCTTTGCTTTTTTACATGTTGAGGTCTCCTACTCCTGGGACCGGCAGCTGCAGCTCTGGGATTTCACGCATGTGCTCGGTGCTGCTGGTATGGACAATACAAGCTTATGCTGCAAAGATGGGGCCAGTCACGCTTTCTGCGCCAGGCAAGGGAACAGAGAAGGAGGCAGTGGTCGTGTCATCACAGGAATCCTCCGAGAGACTTTGCACTTGTCAGTGTCCTGGCCCTACATCCTTGCACCCTCGGCCCTCGCGGTCGTAGCTCCGCAGCATTCGCCCAGCTCTGCCCGAGGCGACGCCTCCCTGGTACACATGGCTTGCGCGCCGCGCTGGCGAGAGGGTGTGAGGCCAGGCCAGCAGGGCCCAAAGACGCAGAGCCCGGTCGAAAGCAGCTTTTCTATGAGGCGGAGCCTGGTGTTTGCAGACGAGGATGGCGGAGTCCACTTCTTTGAGGTTCCAGACTTGAGTCGCTCACTCTGCTCTGTGTTGATGGAAAGCAGCAGCACTAACTAAGGTGGAAATACGTCAGGCGCCCGTGCAAGATGCGCAAGGTGCCTGATGATGAGTTAATGCTCCTGTGCGTGTGCACATCCCCATTGTTAACGATCTGGCAGAGGATGCATGTCAAAGATATGCATCTCTTTCTACCAACCTTTACCACGGTGCTGACTCTAGCCTAGCATCAGCAGCTGTTGCTTGCTTGCTGAAGCATTGATTTTCCAAGAAAGCTTCATGAGGTGGGGGCGCTCCCCGCAGACATGTGCGGTACGACGGTTTCTCGTTGTCCACAACACTTGGTTTCCTTTGCTTAGCTACTTCACCGGCCCTTTGTATTTTGCCCGACGCCTCTGGGCGCTCAAGTCTCATCCGAAAATCAAAACATGGTAGCAAGATCTGCCAGGAGACCTGAACACAATGTAGCTTCTTCCATGACGAGTGTTTAGCTTACCAGCTTACCCTGTGCTCTGGACCGCGTGGCACGAGCTTGTCTCGCTTGGTTATCGTCATGCGGATCGCAGAAGCCATGGCAGCTTCGTGCGAGAGCCATGTGCTGCGACCTTGGCCAATTTTTCAGTTGGCCGGGTCTTCCAGCAACAAAGCAATATCGCGTGAGGCTCCAGGTGCTGTCTCCTTTTCGACACTGGCCAGGCGGTCTACGAAACAGGACGGCAGGCTCGACTTCTTGAGCCATCGCTGAGGTTCACGGGTTTTCCCACAAGCACCATGTGGAGTTTGAAGACCGTCACTCCCTCTGTCTCCCTCTGCTTCCCTTCGGAGGTCCGCGATGTTGCTGCGCATCTCTGGACGCCGGATGCCCAAAGAGCCTGGAAGCTCCCATCCTTTTTTACAGAGCTTTGTAGGGAACTCCGTAGCAGATCTCGCTCTCTCAGCAAGGCCAGAGACCTTAGCTGGCCAGCAGAGGGCAAAGGCCCGAGACGCGGAAGCCCTGGCTGTACCGGCAGCAGAGAGACCGTCACAGTAAACTCTGCCTCTGCCTGCCCAAAACACGTGTCAAAGCGGTGCAGCCTTCATCTGCCCGCACCGAACAACATCGCGCTTCACGGGGACTGATACTGAAGGATGCGAAGTTGTGAAAAGCACCGCGTGGCTGCACGTGTCCAACATGAGCAGCGATGGCTGCATGCTGCGGGCTTCGCGCAGTCACACAGCAACTGTAGGATCGCAATTGCATGACTACAGTCTGCAAGACCTTAGACTTTGCGGGGTGCCACTGCCCCATCAAAGATTTGATTGATCTTCTTTCCCGAAGGGTCTCAGAAAGGACTGCAGATCAATCAGCTGGAATTGCTGTAAGTATAAGCGGCCAGTGTCGCGGAAGGTGCCAGCAGTTTCCAGATACGAATTGCGATGATGTGAATGCCAGGCATGCGCCGCAGAGAGGCTGCCGCGAAGTGCTTTGCGGCAGGACCTGCAGTGAAAGAGCTAGGCCGGGTGCGTTGTAGGTTGTAGCTCTGGCGGGGATGGCCGAAGTTTCACTGACACACTTGCCAGGAGACTTCCCTTACCAATGTGCGCTCGCCATCGCCGGGGGAGATCTCCTGGACAGCAACGCTCGGTCTGATCGAGGATCCACCCCATCTCATGAGACGATACTGTCGGGCCTGCCGGTGCTTCTGCACTGCCGCAGGTCCAGAAGTGCTCCTCGCATCCCGCAGAACAGGCCTTTCGGTGCCTGAGCTTTTTTCGAGACTTTTCAGGCATGTCTTCTTGCGCAGGACAAAAAACCCTACGGCATGGTGCAGCTCTGAGTTCTGCGCTTTGTGGCTTAGCTCAGACACTGCGGCAGCTTTTGGACCTTGGATCCAGTGACGCAGAATTATGAAACCACCGCAGGCAATGACCGCATGTGCTCGGCATGCGCTCTGGCATTTGGTTGCAGCCTTGTGCTGGAGATGGTCCCTTTGCCTCCTGTCTTAACCCAACTGCCCAGGCTGCAAGTGTCATGGCAGAAGTACAGGCGCTGGGCACTGTCTGCCAAAGTCCAACCCTGAACGCAAATGCAAAGACAATCCTGAGTAGGTTGCTGCCATGCGACTGGACGTGGTGCTGCTTGGCGCATCAGTCGGCGCTTACAAGCAGGCTCGATGTTCTCCTTGAAGTTCCGTGCGTGTGGCGGGGAGCGCGGGACGCTTGGAGGCCAGCATGTGGCGCTCCGCCGCGCAGGACCAGCAACGTGAATCTGAATCTCATGTGCGGTAGCTTCGAACTGTTGGCAGCAGGTGCTGCAAAGTTCCTCCGCACAAGGGCTTGAGCAGAGCATCATCTCCCACAACGCGTTGGGCTTAAATTCGTACCTTTCATACCCTGGTATGGACGCGACTCAGCGTGCATTTCGCATGTCGGAGGCCTTGCTCAGTTCGCTTGGACGCTCCGCTCTGTGGCAGTCAGGATTGGTGCTGCAGGCCGAGCTCAGCGCAGCTGAGATTGGTGAGACGAGAGCATCGTCGTTTTTGCTGCTTTAAATCTTAAGGCCAGCATGGCTTGCTCCAGCTGCATGACCTGCGATGTCGCAAGGCTCTCAGCATTGGCCTTTCGCAGTGCTGGCAGCCCGGGTCTGCAAGCTCCCGAGGTGACGTTCAACACGTTGATCACATCCTACCTGAAAGGCGGCTTAGTTGCCAAACACCAGAGACATGTGTTTAATGCAAATACTGTATTAGTATGTATATTATTATGCGATATAACTTACGAGATGTTGTGTGTGTATATACATATATTGAGAGTTGTTCTAAACCCCTGGCTCTTTACCGTAGACTAACAGCGCACTTTAATATTTGGATTCATGTTTGGGGCCTAGTAAAAACACGACGCCGCGCAAGGGCGAGCGCAAGTTCGGCGCAAGGTGATACTACTACTACTGCTACTACTACTACTACTACTACTGCTACTGCTACCGCTACCGCTACCGCTACTGCTACCGCTACCGCTACCGCCACCGCTACCGCTACCGCTCCTGCTCCTGCTCCTGCTCCTGCTCCTGCTCCTGCTGCTGCTGCTGCTGCTGCTACTGCTACTGCTACTGCTACTGCTACTACTACTACTACCACCACCACTACTTGTACTACTACCTGTATTCAGCACAGATCCGAAAACAGCCAAAATCAGTTTTACAGAGGGTTCAGCGCACAAGCCGCGCGCAAGCTGCGCGCAAGGGCGGCTCAAGGGGAACACTCCAAGTTCGACCAATGCCCCATTCCTCTTGCGTGACAGTTGTTTGAAACCCCACCCAAGTTCCCTGCACGAAAACTTCAAACCGGATTCTGGACTTGCTATTTTCCGGCTGGTCCATCAAGGCTACAAGGTGGGAATGTGTTTAAAACCCTGTGCGCGCAAGAGCGCGCAAGGGCGAAGCGCAAGGCGATTTTCGAGTTACGGGCTGCAACCATAATAAAGAACAACCCCCATATACATACATGTATATCTGTGGTGTATTAAGTTGAATGTGCCTGCAGATAAAGTATCATTGTAAATGCTCAGGCATGCACGGTCACCGTGCACTCCGTGTCCTGCCCATGATGAAGGAGACCCCTGCAGTCAGGCTGCCAGGGGCCTGGGCTCGCAGCCAAAGCCCAGTGGCAAGCAACGACATGGTGAGCTGAAAGACTTGCAGGAGCAGCTGGTTGAGCCCGACCAAGCCACGCCCCCTGACGCTCCTACGACGTACAACGCGCCAAAGACGAATGTCCTGCCGAAGCGACTGAAGGCGACATTTTCCAGCACGATCCTGGCGTGCAAGACCGCACCCCAGCGTCCCAGAAAGTCGAGGAGCGCAAAGGTTCGAGGCTTGGACAGACTGTCAGGATGGTTTCGGCTTGGCAGGGGGCGCTGGCCTGCGTGCAGGCAAGGGCGATTACACGCGGGCCCTCGCTGCTGGTATAGCTTAATCAATCAGTCAAAAAACAAATATATATATATATATATATTTACCATATAGCACAGTATTATATAGTATATAGTATAATGCAATTTAGTACTTGTTCTGCGTTTGGGTGTGGCATGTTTGGCCGCAGGGGTTGAGCCTCGGAATGGGAGATCGGCCTTGCCAAGACTCCAGGGTTCTCGGTCCAAATCTGAGACTTCTATGGGATTTGCCTTTGAAGCTTCGGGGTCACCCTCCGCTTGTCTCCTGGTTCAGGTGCGGCCATGGCTGCTTGTACCAAGGCCACGCAGTGGGAATGGGCCTTGGAGCTGTCTCTGGCTCAGTCTGCTCCCGCGCCTGGCCTTGAGCTCTAGAAACACTTTTGAACTCCTGGCTGGGCTGAGGCTCCATACGGTGGATGCAAGCAGCGGAGATCTCGACCTAGTGGGCGCCTCACGCTGCTCACACATCGCTGGCACCTCGTAAGTGGCAGTTTACGAGGTTCTGTGCAACACGGGGATGGCGGCATGCGCATCGGGGAGGTCGTGGAGAAGAGCACTTGACCTACTTCAGAGGCCATGAGCATTTCCGCAGCCCTCCTACGGTCATGTGATGTCATGTGGCTAGGCTGGCAGGAGACGGCTTTCGATCGGATGTGTCGCCCTTGACGTCTTCTCCAGCTCAGACAATGACATGAGAAATGAGGTCGTCTCACTCAACACGTGCATGACCGCCTCTGAGAGAGCAGACCGTTGGCAGGCAGGGAGTCGCAGGCAGCACAGACTCCTTGTTTTCTTTGTGCAAAGCAGGGTGCCTGTGAACTCCTGTCCGCGGCTCGTCGCCAGGGCCACAGATTCATGAGTGGTCCTCACACGCCAGGAGCCATGCCGCATGCTTCACATTTCCAACGTGGCAGACAGTGACCAGAGAGGCCATGCGCAGCGCCTCGATTCCATCACCTTTGCCGCTGGCACCGCTGCTTGTGGTGCCTCTGCAGCCATGGTAGCGGTCGGAATGCTGTGTCATTTCGAGCAACACAGGGCAAGAACTTCTGCACGGCAGGTGCCGGAGCAGGATCTGCGCGCTGGGCGTTGGCAATCAACATGATGGCAAGTTGCCAAGAGCAAGGCCAACTCACAAGTCTTCGGGGACCCCACTTGAATTTTACGTTCCTGTACGCCTGCTCCAGGGCATTGCCTTCTTTTAGCACAGCTGGCTTCGGGGGTCACAATTTCGGGGGTCGTGGGTTGCAAGTGGAGGCGTGCAAGTCAGCGCGGAGACCCTTGGGACAGTCTTGGCTGCGCTCTCCGGCCTCAGCATCGTTGGCGCAAGGGAGGCCATTTCCTGAGCCGGAAGCACATATACCGACGTGCACAAGCAGCAGAGTTGTCAAGTTTGTGTTGATCATCCCAAATATCACCCATATCATTCAGCTAGCCTGAGCTTGAGAGCAGAGAGATCTTGCTCATTCAAGGACCACAATCGCTGGGTCCGTGCACTTCAGCTGCAATTGGCCGGCTTCCTGGTAAGTTTGCGCACGGTCGATCTTATGGGCCATCACCAGAGTGGGGCTCTGACCTCGCATCCAAAGAGGCTGTGTGCGGCAAGATGCAGCCTCAGAACTTCCGATTTTGGTTGGTGCTTGACTGCTTGGGGAGGAGCCTTAGCGTGTTTCGTCTCTGGAGGCAGGACGCAACGACCTGGAAGACATCGCTGCAACTATGCCGAGATGCTGCTCTTGCTGGTGCTGTCGGTATGCACTCCCAGGTGCCGTACACTGCACCTGTATATGCACTTCTTGAACGAGGGCACGTAGTGACACTGATGCACCGTCCCAGCACAGGCACAGGGTTTACTGCGAATTCTCGGAGAGGCTGGATGGCGAATGTCTGGGCCCCAGTTACAGGGCTTCCCTTGCCTTGCGGAGTCAGGATGCCGATGCGGCCGCACTTTGCACAGTCGCTTGCTCAGTCCGGCTACCTTTGAGAACAGCGAGGGTTTGAGTTTGGAGGTCCTAGACACCCTGGAGCTCGCTGAAGACTTCCACGGTTGGAACTCGGACGCTCCCATGAGCTGCAGCCACCAGCACCGCAGCACTGCAGGTGCCTCTGCGCTGTTGACCCGAGCCTGCCGTGCACTTCTCGGCTTCCGCGTGCTGAGACGCGGGATTGTCCCAGTTGCCTTCCTGAGGTGATTGTTTTCAACTTCTTCGGCACATGGTACACTCACAGGCTTGGACGCTGAGAGAGCTCGGTGGATTGTTTCGGATCTACGGCAAACAACTCCGTGGAAACAGGTTTCTTCAACCACCCTGTGCGCTCAAGCGGCCACGCCCTCAGCACTGGCCCAGCCTCCATGCTGTCATGTAGTGCAAGACAAGGTCGTCACCATGGACTCCCTCTCGTTTCGGCAAAGACTGCCTTGTGCAATGCAGGCACCATTGCACTGCAGCGAGCGCATGTTATGTCCAAAGGGGCCTCCCTGGCTCCTTCCAGGCTGCCTTTCACCGGGCCATCGCCGCTCCGGTCCTGGCGAGGCTTGCCAGTTCCCTAGCTCAGAATCTAGCTAGTTCCAGAGAGACGCAGGTACGGAAGGCTTGGCTGTGGTTTGCACTGCCTTGTCCCTCCTGCCCACTTAATCAAGATTGCCACCATTCGGCTCCATATCCAAGACAACAGTTGGCACAAAAGTATTTCAAAGCTTCAGCTTCTTGAAGCTGCAGCGAGAGCTCATGTTCATGAGACTGCAATGACGGTCGGGTACATCGCGTGTCAAAGGGTTTTGGTGAAGCAAAAAGCAAGCCGTCGGGGTTTTGCGAAAGCTTAAGGGGACTCTTCTTTAAACTTCTCCTTCAACTGAGAAGACAAGCTCAGCTGCGTGATGCTTTCGCGGTTGCGCTTGTCTCGTTTTGAACTTAAGTGTACAGCTCGGCTTCAAGTTCAGACGGTCGCATGCAGGCTGATTCGACTGCTTCACATTCCTTTGCGGCCTGAGCCTCACTCCTACGCTGCACACCTGGAAAACATGTTTGTTCGAGAGTTCGCGAGGTCTCGAAACGAGCAGCTGGAAGCCCAGCCTATGCTGGGGCACGTTGCAACGATGCAGGCTGCGTGATGAATAGTGAAATCGGACGCTGTCAGCACGCTGTCTGCCAGGCTTTGAGCCAAAGTTGTCTTGGCTTGCAGGCACGGTTTGCGGCAAATCATGAGAAGTGCTGGCGGTGCTTCATGAGTGGCATTGAGTGACCATGTAGACAATGGAGGCCGGAGCAATGTCAAGTTGGAGGCTCTTGAGTAGGCGATGCCTGACTGCCGTGACCTCAAGATCCGAAGCACCCGTCACGGTGTGTTCTGACGTTCTCTCGCAGTGGACCCAGGGCTGGAAACTCCAGCTACCGGCGTATGAGGCACTGGCCACTGCTCGAAGCCCCGGAACACTGCACTGCATTGCACTGCTCCGCTGCTGTCTGCACTCGTCCGCCTGACGAGGCCCTGACCCCATGTCTTGCCTACAGCATTCCAGCAAAGCACGCGTGCTGCGCCGGACGCGTGGTTGGCTACAGAGCAGAGAACAACGCAGGACGCTCCCTGAGGTGCCCCCTCCTTAGGCCCTCCGCGTCTCGAAATGACATGCCAGATGTGGCGCTAGTCTGGTGGGTGATGTTGCCCACTCCATGAGCAGCCGTGACGTGCTTTCGTCAGGAGATGGGCCTCTAGCGGCTGTGTGGGTGCAGCACGACCGTTCTCAGCACGGAGAGCGCCAGGTGCTTCACATGTCGTATATAATGTATTGGTCACGGACTTGGCCAGGGAGCAGTGCGCTGATTGATTTCATTTTGGGGCTCCTGTCCGATTGGGAAAGCAAGATTTCGTTGAAAGGGGGAAGTTGGGCTGCCCAAAGCCACAAAGAAACTCCCAACCCTACAGGCCTGCCAGTAGGAGCGCGGCAGATTGCCGCAACAGCAAACCTCAAACAGAAAACCTCGCTTCAATCACGCAGTCAAGAGTTCAGTTCTGATTTCAATCTGATTCCGTTGCCACAATTTTCTGGTCCGTGTGCGCTGCGCATGGGCAGTGGCCCGACTTGCAGGCTCTTCTGATGATCGTCGCAGCGACTGCCAGTAGCAGTCAGTCGCGACAACAAAAGATCTGCAAGGCAGCCATGCAAGTGTGAAGTTCCAAGCATGCCGAGGGACTTTCCTTGTTTTGCTGGTGCTCCATGAAGTTTGGCAGCATTATGAATATTAATATCATCCATATTCTTATCATCAATAAGTCAATAGTATTGGTCCTCTCCCCTGGCCCCCCCTCTCCTGCTTTCGGCATGGCAGTCGTCCTGGCGACACGGGTTGGATATGGTCTAAGGGTTGTCAACCGTGGAAGCTTTCTGAGTCGTTGCGATGTGATCTTGTAGACCGCTGAGCCCTTCTGCTTTAGGCCTCGCCTGAACTTGCGAATCGGGCTTTCAGACTCAATCCATGATGGGAGCATGATTCAGCAATTCGGTGGAACAGCCAGCGAATTAAGTTATAGACCTGACCTTTGTGAATTGTCTGCCCCTTTCGACCACTTTGGCACGTGGCTGCAGGATCTAAATTGCTCCTCGTGCTTTCGAGGCTAAGAGGCTTGCAACAAAGTCTGCAGGCAAACCTCGTTTTCTGGTTATAGCCCGTGCATCGACTGTAGATGTGCAAGGCGGGCAGGATTCTTGAGTCTAGGGCCACAGGTGCTGGAAAACCGGTACATGCAGGAGGGCAAGCTGTGACGCCCCTAACACAAGTCTACCCGGTACCTCCTCAATATGCCGGTGTGCCGACACTCTGTGCGAGTCAAGCCCATGAATGCAATTCATTCTCTGGGCGGGTATCAATCTGGCGGGGACCCGGAATGACTCTGGTATGAAGCTTTGTGGTTGGCAGATCCAAAGCCCCTCGTGCAACTGCGCACTTAGGACCGGTCTGAGATGTGGGCTGCAACAACAAAAGCCTGACAAATGACCGCAATGGTCCACCGCATATTTCAAGCGGTATTGGCTCACCTTCTCGCCCAGCACGACGAGGTCGCCCACCTCATACGGCTTGCCCCTCCTCCGTCGAGCCCTGCATCGCTTGGAACACTTGGATCAGTTCGACCGCCTCCGCCGCAGCAATGAAATGAAATGATTCAGAAGACTTCAGAAGCAGAAACAGCAGCATCAGAACCACCGAGGCAACAAAAACATCCAAGTCGTTGTTCACACTTCAGCATCCAAACAGGGGTGCGAGTGCAATCTCCAACAGAAGACCTCTCAGTGGTTAAAGCTCGTCTTGGATCGACCTTTCTGATCGTAAACGACAAAGAGAGTGCTATCGCCTGTGCCGTTTAGCATGGGCTGATGGCGTGGGATGGAACCCACCGACGAAGAGATGCGGCGGATACAAGAGCAGTTACATGGCATTGTCAAGTGTTGGCAGATTCAGGGTGTATCTAAAAGAGCCCACCTTCAAGAGGTACTGTAGCTATTTATGCCAATTGCATTAAGCTGTTAGACACTTTTACAGACACCTGCTGGTTTTTTTGCTTGGCTCAAGTCAGTTCAAGGAACTGTCACAGCATGTCACGGCTAAGGTTTGCCATGCTGGATTTGAACGGTTCTGGCCCCTGGGAAGCACACGGTTGCAGACCCGTTGCGAGCTTTATGACACCAGCAACACTTGGAGCAGTTGGCATGTCACTGCAGCTGATGACAAGGCAAGATCGAGAGGGAAGAGTTGCAGGAGTTGCTGGTCTTCCTGGGGCTGGCAAGGGCCCTGCCAGAATTGTCTTTGCAATGCCTTTTTCTTACGGGGGCATTGCGAGGATCCGAGGGACGGCCAGCTGGACACGCTCTGGACCGTCTTAGACACAGACGAAGATGGGCTCATTAGCTTCCAGGAATTCTTGGACTTTGTCTTCAGCACCGGTGACGTTTCCTTCTTTACCCCCTCGGAGCTCGAGAGGGTGCGCGAGTACTCGCAAAAGCGCAAAGCCAGCCGTGCAGAACAGATCCTCAGAGCTCGAATAGAGTGACATGTTGCCTCATGTTGTCAATGGTTCGGGTGCTTCCTGTTTGGGAAGAGATATGCTCATACCATCAGAGCCGGATTCCAAGGACCCCGACGCCAGAGACTTCGGCGGACAACGAGGCTTGAGAAAAGCTGACAAGGGAGTCCGGCATTATACTGTATATATTTATATTTACTGTTAACTATTATTATTACTGTTATTACTATTACTATGATTATTATTATTACTGGGGCGGGAGGCTCGACAACCGCTGCAGTCCTGGAGGAGATTGCTCGACTCCAGAAGCGCGTGGAAGAGTTGGAAGCAGAGGCCCGAAAGCGCGACAAGGCAAGATGTTATGCACCGTCAAGGCGACCCTCAATCAACACCACATGTGGATCCGATTGAGCACATTTTGATGCGAGGTCGTGGTGCAGCTGCAGACCAAGCTGCAAGCAGCTCGTGAAGAACAGCTCATGCAAAAAAGTCGACAGAACAGCAAGGACCATACCACAAGCGTACCTGCATATGCGCCTGCATGCAATACAGCACAACAGGTTAGAAGACAGCACAGTACAACACAGTACGAATGCTATGTTCATACTACTTCGTATTCATACGAACACGAAGACTAATGCTAGACTAAACTATGCTGCGCCGTACAGTTATGCATCTTACCGCTACATGTGCTTCACGAAAACTACAGGAAGCGGTATATGTAAATGGATTCCTTTAAATATGCTCATGCTTATTTGTTTGTCAGTTTATGCACATATGCGTGTAGTCTCGTTATGTGTCAGAGATCGGAACAGAGGGTGTGGATTTGGGGGAGGACATACATACACACCTACATACATACATACATACATACCTACGTACATACATACATACATACATACATACAGTTACATACATACATACATACATACATACAGACAGATATACATATGTGTGTGTATGCATGTGCACATATATATATATATATTTGTGTGTGTGGCCCATACTTACGTATGCATGTATATGCATGCGTACGTATATATATATATGTATATGTGTATATATATATATGTACATATGTATATATATATATATATGGTCCACACATAAGCTGGTCTGTGGTTCCGTGTGTGCACAAGTTACATCAACATGTGCAAAAGCTATACACAAGGTAAGACATTGAGTAGAGGTCTGCATAGGTGCAAACTATGGAACGTCCGTACATATATATGTATATACATATATGTATATATATATATACATACATATTGTGCGCACCATCGTGTGGATGTACCAGCCACCCGGGTCGGTTGTCTATTGAGGGAGGGTCGGTGGTAGGAGGTGCTTTCGCAGTCCGGTCAGTTTCTGTCTGCTCGGCCCCTACAACTTTTGAAGCAAGGAGATAAAGTCTAAGTGAAACAAAGGCTCAGGGACTTTGGGAACCAAGGACGGGATCATTGTTGAGTTTCCCGGATCGAGTTTTTTTTTCTTTGAAGGGGGATGATCATTGGCATTCCGGACTGGAGTTCGTTTAATTGAGGGTGGGGTACTAAAAGCAACCTAGCATTAGTCCTTATAGGAGCCCTATTCTAAGGCCCCTGAACTAAAGCCGAGACCTTGCAGGATACCAGCGCAGAGCGTGAACCTGCTGGCCCAGCTCCAGCTGCGTCGAGCGATGAGCAGCTTAGCAGTGCCTAAGTAGGCCTAAGAAGAATCTGAAAAGCTTATGATTTGACGTTCTTGATTCTTCGGCTTAAGTTCTAGGTGCCCAGGAATCAGTCATGACATCTGCATATCCGGAATGCAGAGGATGCCAAATCAGCCCCTTAGAATGCTCTGGCACCCTGTCTCGGCATAAGGATTGTGCGGCTCAAGAAGCAGCTTCATGCCGCATGAATGCAAGTACCACCATGTTGTGCCTGCTTGCAATGTGTGCATGTTGAGCAGACAGCCAGAGAGGAATCTTTTCTTTGGGAGCCATCTGCTCTGAGACAAGGATAAGCAGTATGCACTGCAAAGACTGGAGAACCAGCAGGAGAAGATCGTTGAAGGCGCCGTGCGACAGCCGTGAGGTCTGCAAGCGACGAGGGAAATGGAGCTGGCAGGCTACGTCGGATTCCTTCATTCGTTGATGGAGTCATCTGCGTCGCTGACCTTGCAATGGGCTGGCCCCATAGTGGCTGATTCTGTGTGTATGTTTCCAGAGGTCGGAGCAGCTCCAGAATTATTGCGATCTCAAGACGGTGGAAATGCTTGGAAGAGGGGCCTACGGCTTCGTGCCCTGACCGCATGCTGATTGCATCCCAAGTGTTTCAACTTGGTGAAAACAGCCGAGGTGCTCACATGCCTTGACAAGGATCACAACCAAAAAGTTGCTGCCATCTCAGACATGACTTGAAATGACGGGTAAATAACAGCGTGCAAATTGGACTACAACATGTAACAGCACAGTGTTCTTTCAAATGCCATTTCACATCACAGTTGCTGATGTATGTATGTTTATGGATACACACACATATATATATATATTTACATGTATACAGACGTATATGTGTGTGTGTACATACGCACATACACACATACACACATACACACATACATACATACATACATACATACATACATACCCATACATACCCATACATCTATGTATGGACATATACATATACACATCCCCGTTTTCCAGTTTCCAATGTCGGCCGTAGCCTAACTTGCTCTAATTGACGCCCCACCTGAAAGAGGCTGTGGGCCCTTCATCCGACTCGCTTCCATTGGGCTTACCAGACAAGCGCCAAAGCCACGCAGCAGAAATCTATGCGAAAGTAGTGTGCACTTGGGGCCCAAAAACGCAGCAGGCATGATGGTTACCACAAAGCAGCAGGTACTCCTCACAAGCGGGTCCCTTGAAGGCCATCCATTACCGCAGGGACCCTCATACACGGCCACAAAACACTAAAGGCACAGTGGCGCCTTTGCCCCTACAAAATTATACACAGGTGTTACCTTCTGCGGACGGCTGTGAACCTATTCTACTGGGTTTCCATGGACCAATGGGCACACGTATGTCTACTGGATACGAGACGTGACGGTTTTCGAAACCTGGGCGGGAGCAAGATGGAGGCTTGCTGTAATCCGCTCGAGTGTGGTAATTGGTCAATGTCGATCCAAAGTGCAGTGGTCTAGCATGCCTTTGTTTTGGAGACCCTGGCCAGTTTCGCTTGGGCTCAGGTTGTGAAGCTGCAAAGCCCAAGATGGGCGGCAGTTGCTGCACAGGAATGGTCTCACGGCCCCGTGCTCCGCGTTTTGGAGAGACCGCCGGCACACGGAAGCACTGAAGCAGCCAAGGTTCCAAGTGTGCCCACGACAACATCGTTGCTCACCTGCAGGCTGGGAGCTTCAGAAGAAAGACTAGTTGTGAAGCCTGCAGCAGCTTTCACCATGCGGACAGGTTCTGCTGCACTACGATGGTAAAAGTGAGCTGGAACGTTTCTTGGAGTGCATAGCGTGCTAAACAAGCCTTGGCGTCGTGCTTCATTCAACTGCGTTTTGTATTTATCATGCTGCGTTGCGCTCCGAGGGAAGCTCGAAAAAGCCTTCGACGATGGTATTTTCACAGGGAAGCGACCCAAGATTCTGCCAGACAGACCGGTCCTCGGCATTCTCAGAGGATCAGCATGCTTGCATCCTGCAACTTCAACTTCGGAATTGAACGTCTCTGCAGGTAGCGACATGTGCAAGAGGGCCGAAATGCTCTTGCTCTGGGTAAGACATCACTGAGGATACATCTGCATGGTTTTGGAGTATATGGATCGTGGCACGGCGCAGCACTTGTCGAAGGAGGGTCTGCTTGACCTGGAAGGCACACCCCGAGCCTCCTAACACTGCTTGTCTTTGCACTATCATAGTGTGCTAGTATGTGCTAGCGTGCTGGCACGGTCCGGCGGCTTGTTCCGCGAGGAACAGCTCCTGGAATAACATCTACAAGTCAGTAGCGGTTCTGATCGTAGCCAGACTGCTACCGGCAGAATTGGACGTGCCTTCGCATGAACTCCGTGTGGCGCAGGGTGTGGGAGCTTTGCGACATAATTGAGCATTCGGCACCTCGTGCTACTAGTAGCTGCTGGAGTATGCTGAAATCTTTATGAGCTTCCGGTATTCGGAACACATCCACGGAGTGTTAGAGGCCTCGCAGCTATCACTCGACAAATATCTTCGGCTCTGGCCTTCATCCACAAGAGCTCCTTGGCACACGAAGTATGGCATGGCGAAGCTTGGAGTCTCGCTAGTTTCGTGTCTTGCCCCTCAAGGCAAACAAACCCACAACGACATCAAGCCGGAGAACATCCTGTTGCAACACGGCATCACTTTACATGGCTTGCCAGGCGACAGTCGTAGCACAAGGGCAATGATTGCCTGCAAGGCGGAAAGCAGCAGCTGGCGATCATCTTGTTGTGCAGGACTTAAGTTTGCTCCGGGGTGCTTGCAAGCTCGGCAAAGTGGAGGAAGTTGGTGTTTGTCAGGTGAAACTAGCAGATTTTGGACTGGCCCAGTGGTCCGTTGAGAGGCAGCGCGATGCTGCCTTGGCCTCTGACTCCGGTTCTTGCACGCTCGAACTTTCCTTGGGCTTGTGCTGGTCTAAGGAGCTGATGGCCTACAGCCTGTGGTGTTTGGGGCTTGACGAGCCGCCGGCCTCTTAGGTCCTCAAGCCCAATCCGACAGAGGTGGGCCCATCCCTCTGTGAGGTTCGATCACATGCCGTCGAAAGAAGAAAGACCCGCTGCCGCAGAGCGTTTCGAGGGCAAGGCGCTGCTCAAGGACCCTTCTGTGGGCCCTCGAAGACCTTGCACCAGCGAATCCGCGGCTCTCGAAGGATTCGCGGCAAGGCTTACGCAGTGCTCTGGGGAAGGCTTGCTATGGCTTGCTGCCCGAGCCATCAAAAACCCTGGCCTCCGACTTCGCCGCAGGTTGTCCGAGATCTCTGGGCTGGCTGTACGGAGATGGCCGTTGTGGCTGCTTCGGAGGTCGCAGAGTGTCCACTGAGTGAGAGTATGTGGGAGCATGTGGTAGTGCTCTACTGGTACCCACCAAGCCTGCGAACGTAGTGCCCTTGCCGAAGCCTGTAGAGATACTCTCATTTCGCTGCCAGGATTTCTGCGACATGCAGCTTACCATCCATCATGCCAAGCACGCGGCGGTTGAGGCAAAGGCTAGACAAGAGTCTTGGCAGTGAGGAGATTGCTTAACCGATGCGATCGGCGCATCTAACGTGAAGGAGTCGTTTGGTCCGTTCTGGAAGTTTTGGGAGAGCGAAATCTCAGGAGATTCCTCCCAGACTCGAACGACAAGCCAAGCTGTGGAAAGCCGTCCACATGGCCAGCATCGTCAGGAAGTGGAGCCATGTGGACCGGATCCGCATAGTTGACCGTAATTGATTTCAGCTTGGGAAGCATGTGACTATGCAGAACGGTGCTGTTGCAGAACAGCATCCCGTGTTCCGAAAACTCATGCTCGAACTCCTGTTTGGAAGTGATGAAAGACGACCCCAAATGTATATATATATATCTCTCTCTCTCTCTCTCTCTCTCTTGCTCGCTCGCACGGGCACTGTGCCTGAGTCTTCCCTCCACGCCCGAATACCAGGCTCGGCCGCTTTTGTTTCTGCAGGACGACTCTGATGATGCTCACTGAGGGCCCTCTGTGTGTTTTTAATTTTTCAAGGGAAATGCCTGGGCTGGCCGGCGAAGTGGATAATTGAATTGTCTGTACTGCTAATGCCTGCATTGTGCATGGCCTCACATCTGTGCAAGACGAGCGGCAAGAGTGCAGAATCACCAAGAGTATACTAAGCATCTTGTCCCGATGTTTAACGTATTCGGACACCTATGCAGCACCCAACCCTGTACAAGACAAATGCACGTGTTTTCTTCGGGCTCAGCGGGCGCAAAGTCGCCCGTGCAGACAGGACAAGCTGATTCTGCGAAGTCATCTCGAAGCTTGAACCGAGCAACGTCTCTGTTAATGCAATCAGATCGGACTTCTCCCCGCAAAGGGGTTCGCGATCTCCGGAGATTGTCCTGTCAGACACGCAAAGAGAACTGTGCAGCACAGAGATCAAGGCCACTCCACACGCACTTCTCAGACTGACCAGCCGTGATGGATCAAACCAGCAGAAGGGTTTTGTAGGGCATAATTTACAAGCTTCAATCATTCGGGGTAACATATCTGTATGTATGTTATATGTATGTGTATATATATATATATATATTAACACACGTGTGTGTGTGTGTGTGTATTATACAGGTATAGATGTATGTGTGTGTGTGTGTATGCACGTATGTATGCATGCATGCATGCATGCATGTATGTATGTATGTATGCATGCATGCTGTATGTACATACATACATATAGCTCTTTATATAACTATGCATATGTGTCGATCGAAATATAATTTTGTTTTGTATACATACATATAGATACAGATACAGATATTGATATCGGGCCCTCCCAAGTTGGAAGCTAGGGTCTGGTAGGAATTAGGCCTCCAAGCAGCATGGTCCTGTTTCGGGAATTTTCACAACGGCGGTTTCTTTAAGAGATTTGCAGAACAGGCTACTTAAGTCCGTGTCATCACTGCGCAACTTGGGAACATGGCCAGCTTGAGTGAGACATGCAATGACGACGCACTCTGGCGAGCGTGTCTCCGGAAAGAGAAGAGATTTTCATGCAAACTTTTTATCCTCCCTTGAGGAAACGAGCAGGCATTGATGACTCCGCAGGCCAGTCGCCAGCAAATGGGCATGAAGGGAGCAATGTCCAGGAGGGACTCCCTCGAAGAGGTCATTCGGGTCTGGTTATCCAGGCTGCCGCGAAGGCGGCAGCCTCTGGCACAGCAGCGAGCTACTGCAACCCCGGCCTATGGCTTGGCCATCGCCACGCTCAAGCACAAGCACTGACGCCACAGAAAGCACCCACGGGGCCGACGGCGCCCAGGGCATCAAGAAGCAGCTCTCACCCAATCGGAGACAGCTTGGATGTGACCTTCCAGGAGCGTCTTACGAGCTTCGGGGCGGATCAGCTGCCGGAATTGGTCGAACTGATCGAAGCAAAGCATTCACAGTTCAGCCCTGTCAGTTTGTGCACTGCCATCCATCGCCTGGCAGCTTTTCAGCAGGGCAGCAAGCAGTTCCAACGCTGCCAAGGCCTGTTGTCGACCTTGGAATCTCAGCTTCGTGAGCGGCCGAGTCGGTTCAGAGCGCAAAGCATCGCCAACGCTTGTTGGGCCGTGGCCAAGCTTCATTGGACTGCCCAGTCATTGATGGAGGCAATGATTCAGATCACAGAACAACGAGTGGACCATTTCAAACCTCAAGAGCTGTCCTTGTTTTTGTGGGGCATTGCCTCATCTCGGACTGCCCCAAAAAATGCTGAAGCCACAGCTGCAGCAGCAATTACATCGGAGTTCCTTCAGCGTGGAAGCGCCAAGTTTGATGCTCAGAGCACTGCGACTCTGGCTTACTCGGCAGGCGTGCTGCTTGTCACAAATGAAGCGTTTTGGTCCGCCATGGATGCAGGCTCGGCCGACCGAGTGTCAGAATTCAGCGATAGGCAGCTGGCAAACCTTGTCTGGGGCTTTGCCACCGTTGCCTACACGGACTGTACTGCCATATTCACTCGAGTTGCAAAGGAAGCCCCGATTGCCAAGCTGGCACCGATCGACTTGAGCTTAGTCGCTTGGTCCATGGCCAAAGTTGCTCAAGGAGGGCAGGAATTTTACGATGCAGTCGCGGATGCAGTTTGTTGCAAGCGCGATGCATGGAAGATCAGTGACACGAGAAACATTGCGACGCTTCTCTACTCCTTGGCACTTGCAGAACAGGCGGCCTCTCATGAGGGCGCTTTCAGGATCCTAGCAGAGGCAGCCTGCAAGCGTCCAGGAGAGTTCAGCCTGCAGGGCTTGACAAATGCAGTGTGGGCCTTTGCCACGGCTTGCTACACAGATGAACGCTGGTTTGCAGTGGTGGCCAGTGAGGTATTGAAACGGGACCACTCTGAGTTTGAACTGCTGGATGTAGCAAATTGCCTGTGGGCTTATGCCGCTGTCTTGCACAAAGATCCTCATATCGTCTCAAGGTTGACATCTCTCGGTAAGGTGATGATGACAGAGTTCTCTGCGCAGAATCTGGCCATCAGTGCTTGGGCCTTGGCATCATTGGAGGTGCGTGATCATCACTTTTTTGAACGAGCGGCTGACCCTTTCGTCGCACGCCTTTCAGAGTGCAAGTCCCAAGAACTGAACAACATGCTCTGGGCCTATGCCACAGTTGGTGTCAGACTGCCGTGGTTGTTCATCAAGGTGTCAAACCATGCAAAAGCTGTGGGATTGGCAGAGTTTAAAATGCACGAGCTCTCCATAATGATGTGGGCACATGGAACTGCCGGAGTTTGCAACCATGATTTCTTCGACGATGCCCGGGGCCTAGCAGCAGGGATGATGTGACCGGGTGGGCTCAGGCAACCTTTGCAAGATCCGCCTTGCACGGTTGAGCGTGTTTGGCTGCCACGAAGCATAGTTTTGCCGGACCCGAGAGCCCTAAGAACCTCCTATCACAGAGCAAAGAAGCCGAAAGAAGCTCTGGGTTGTTCCGTCGGGCGAAAATCACCACCGAGTAATGCCCAATCGATTGTGGAGTATTTGGGGGTACCTTCTGAAACCTCGGAATGCCTAAGCGCTCCTGCAGAGAAATGCAGAATCTGGGCATGCCCAAGCGGATAGCCAGAATCTCATCATCGGACGTTTGAGCACGACCCATGCTGTCGGACTGAGGTTGTGGAAGAAGTCTTGGGCAGCCGGGGAATCAACAGCTGTGCCCCGCGGCAGGTTGCCAATGCAGCCTGGGCGTACAGTACAATCATCGGTCGGTGCCACTGGCCCTGGATGCAAGCTGTAGCTGAATATTCCAGCCAACATATCTGCGAATTTGACATGCAGGGCATTGGAAACGTCCTTTGGTCTTTTACAAACGTGGCAACCTTCAGCGAAAGGCTTCTGGAGAGTGCATGCCGAGAGACGGCCAGGAGGGCCCGGGAGGATCCTTCCTCTGCCTCGCAGAACATCGCACAGGTGCTGAGCGCGGCTCAAGCTGCCGGTCTCCTTCACGTCGAACTCTTTGAGGCGGCGATTCAGGCTTTCCTTCGTGGCTTCGGCTCGGAGCCTTCGAGGGATGCACAAGGCATCGGTGCCAGAGAGCTGCTGATTCTCGGCAACGCCGCCAAGCCTGCGTCAAGAGAATTGGGAGGTCTGTGGACACGACTGAGCCAGTTCCTCGACTTGCATATCTTTCATTCCTTGCGTCAGGCCGTACCCAGTGGCGATGGTGGCTGGTCAAAGATGGAGAGCCGGATCTCCGAACTGGACTTGGATCACCTGGGAGTGTGGTTCACGGCTCAGTTTCTGGAAGATGTCCATGCGGTGAGCTCGGCGGAAGTCTTCACCCCAAGCTGTTCTACATCTGCCTGGGTCAAAGAGGCAGCAGCGGCTTGCGCTGTCGAGCGGGAAAGAGCCATACGGGCAGGAATGGCCGAAGCTGCGCCCCTGGAGCAGCAAAAGCTCGTTCGACAACTCGACAAGGTGAACAAGAGGGAGATCGTTGCCTGGGTTCGGTATACCACAAGAACAGGCAGGAATGAGCCGGGCCGTGCTTTCAGCTGGCAACTCGAAGACTCCAAGAAGGCCAGCAGCTCCGCTTCGATGGCTTCGGAACTTCTCAAGCCGATGATCACCCGCAGCCGAGTGGCTCCAAACATGCTTGGAGAGCACGACCGCAGCGGCCATGCGGAACGCTGTGCACTAATGCAAGTGACGACCGACCTGCTCGGAGACACTGACTGTGAAGGAGCTTCGAGCATTGAAGGCCAGATATTTTTGTACGTGACCCATTTTCCCTGCATCTCTTGTGTATGTGTCATCGCGCAGTTCTCTCGATTGTTCCCACGACTCTCTTTCCATCTAGCTTATGCGGATGGAAGATCGATTCATGCCCAATCTTTGGAAGCAAGGCCAAAAGATGCGGTTAATCGATAATGATATTGATATTAAACTTCTTTGAGTGAGTTTACGAAAACGATTGCCAAGAAAAATATCTTATTCGAAATCTTCTTCTCTCCCCTATAATACTATCTCTCCATTGTTTAATTATGAAGCAAAATATTTAAGAAACAAAACTAATTTCTTAATCTGTATTATTAAAAATAATCTGCGAAATCTATCGGTAATGATAACAATATATTCTGATCTATTTCAATATTTCTTATCTATGAGATCAAGTTGTCGAATATCTTTTATATGGTATTTATATTGGAATGAATTCGTTGGAGAGTAATGGGTTTAGATTGATTTTTTTTATATTGAAGTATTCTATTAATTTATGGAAAAGATAATATTTGGAATAAACATAATTTATATTTATTTATGAATTTTGGCATGCTACATAATTTGTTTGAATTTAATGAAAAAGGGAGCACGAAATATAGGGAATATGGATATAAAATTGATGAATAGTTATTATTAGATATAAATGAAAGGGATATTATAGGTATATAATTGATTTATATAGAGTATAGTGGATAATATTGAAATTTATTAGATTTGAATAAGTTTAAATTTTTATATTATTTATTTATTTTAAATATCTATCTATTGATTTGTTTCTTATTCTATTTAAATTTATATATATATATATTTATTT